TATGCTGAGGACTCATCAGTGCACAAAAGAGCAAATCTCCTGTTTTCAGGGCACTTACATTCTAGTGGAGACAAACAGATCTTAAACAAGATAAATAAGCAATATATGGAGTGTACTGGCTGGTGGTAGTGTTAAGAAGAAAAATGAAGCTGGAGTGGGGGTGGGGTTGGAAGTGGCTGGTGTGGGGAGGGAGTCACTTCTTTTTGGGGGGAAGGACTTTTATTTTTATCCTTTTTTTTTTAACTGGAGGATAATTGCTTTATAGTGTTGTATTGGTTTCTGCCATACATTAACATGAATCAGTCATAGATATACACATCTCTTTCCTCTGGAACTTCCCTCCCACCCAGGCATCACTTCTTAGATAAAGTGGTCGTGGAAGGCCTCTCTGAGACGGTGACCTTTTAGCTAAGACCTGGAGAAGACAAGGCAGAGTGAACCTGCAGGTCCCAGGGAAGAGTGTTTCGGGCTGAGGGGACAGAAGCAGCGAGGCTGGAGTGGAAAGAATTAGGGGGTGAGGGAGAGAATCAGTGGGCAGGGTTGGTGGGCTGTTCTGAGGGGCTCTCTGTATCTCTGGAGCCTGCCTGGTTGTACTTCTCCAAGGCAGGGGAAACCGTGGCGGGGCGGGTCAGCAGTCAGGGTCCTGAAGGAGAGATGGTTGGGAGGAGGCAGGCGGAGGGGGCTGGGGAGCCAAGGGTGTATTGGGTGTATTGAGGAAGCCCCCTCCTGTAGGGGACAGCGGTAGTTTCAGGCCTGATATGGGAAGGCCAGCTGCAGCCCCATTATACAGATGGGAAACTCAGACTCAGTGCCTCGATGACAGTGCCTGGTCTAAAAACATGCTCTGAGTTCTGTGGGGTGGCTCATGGCATAATGGTGGCAGCCAGGCAGCGTCACCTCTTGTCACCATTTCGCCCCAGTCTCCCACTCCTCTTTCAGATCCCTGAAGAGTCTATGCCTGCTCGCCTCTGTTCACACCATTCCCCTGGGCCCAGATAACCTCTTCAGAGATCTGGGGAAGCAGAACGATAAGTGACAGCTCTAATCTCCTCTATCCCTCTGAGCCTCAGTTTCCTCACTGTTTAAGCAGGAATGGTCATCCTCCCGGCTCACCAGCCTGTTGTAGAATCATGTGGTCTGGGCAGGCAGGACAGAGGTGAAGGGGGCTGTGACCCAACTGATCAGGGGCAGGAAGGCACGAATCTCTGAAGAGGTCATCAGGGCAGGCTCCAGCCCAACGCAACCCTGTGAAATAAGTGGTGATCCAAAGCCACCAGGCTCATTTCTACGGGAGAAGCTGAAAATCTGAACATTTAGATGAAACCTCAAATTTTTAAAATATGGCTAAGTCAAATTGCTTTTAAACGCTGTGTGCGTCACCAAATGAATCCTCAGGACTTCTCTTTCATGCAGTGTCTCTGGAATGGTAAATCACAGATTGTCATCCACTAGCAATGACTTAGGACTTCCCTGGTATCTCAGCGGTAAAATCCCCTGAACAGGTCATCCTGGCTCAGGATGTAGTGGGCAATGCAGGAAAGTGGGTTCAATTCCTGGGTTGGGAAGATCCACTGGAGAAGGAAATGGCAACCCACTCCAATATTCTTGCCTGGGAAATCTCATGGACAGAGGAGCCTGGTGGGTTACAGTCCATGGGGTCTCAAATGAGCCAGACACGACCTAACGACTAAACAACAAATGATTTAAATGCCACCCCCTCCAGGAAGCCCTCTCTAGTTACCCTAAACTTGAGGGAGGGCTCCCTCTGCTGGGATCTTGCGCATGACTCCCATTGTTCCTAGGACGTCTTTCCCATTGTCAACCTCGTGAGTGGCGCCCCCTGGAGGTAAGATCCTGGATCTCCCTTTCCCTTTTCTCTGGCCTTCTTCAGCTGTCTGGCAATGTTAGTGTATGTATCTAGGGTGTGACTTATGTGAGGAAGGACCCACAACTTATGCATACTTATGTTCTGGGGCTTTCCCTGGAGATGTACATGTGTCCAGCCAGAGACTACCTACAGCTTAAATCCCAGCTCCAACAGAGAGACAGCGAATAGTTAGAATTCAGCTAAAGCCGTGTCCTGTCATACATCAGGGTGGGGTGGGGGCACTCACTTCAGTATGCCTCACCTGCAAAATGGGCTCAATGTAATTGCCTGCCCTGTGGGGTTACCTGAGAACTCAGTGAGTTAAACCAGGTAAAGAGGGACTGGCAAAGAGTGAGTACTCAATAAATGTCATTAATATTCTCTCTTCTCCAGTCTCTTTCTCTCCATTCCCATATATAGAGTTTAGGGAATGTAAGTCCCTGGAGGGCAGGGACCACTCTGTTTTGCTCAGTGCTAAGCACCTAATACTGCTTTACTAAGCACTTCCCTACTGGTGCTTAGTAAATACTTGGTTTGAGAGTGAGTGGTGAGTAAGAGGAGGGTCTGCCCACCTTTCCCTTGATTTTGTTTTTTTTGTTTTTTTTTTTTGGCCACACTGTACAGCTTGTGGGATCCTAGTTCCCCGGCCAGAATCAAACCCTTCAGGGAAATGCATAGCCATAAGCACTGAACCACCAGGGAACCTCCTCTCCCCTGGATTATTGCTGGAAGGTCTTGGAACTTCCAGGCTCCCTCGCACCCCCAGTGTTCCCTGACCCTGCCATCAGGGTCACCCCCAAAGTCATCCCTGACCCTGACTTTGACTCTCCCCAGGCTAAACCCCCTCCCCCACTCACGGGCTCCAGCTGGCCACAGGATAAGAGTCCAGATCATTAGCTCAGCATCTGAGACCCTTAAAGGTCTGGTCCCTTCAAGCCTCTGCAGATTTCTCCTCTCCTCTAACCACCCCTCCTCAGCCTCTCCTCTCCCAAGGGCTCTCTGCCCACCTGTCCATCCCCTTTCCCATCCACCTGGCCGAACCATCTTTCAAGACTCATGTCAGTGTCACCTCTTCACTGTTCTGTGCCCTAGCCCTGGGCCTATATGTTGAACCCTGACCTCCAGGGTGAACTCCATGTGTCTGTCTCCCCCATGAGATGTGAGGGTCATGTCTTATTAGTTGTAACCAGGGTAACTTTTGATGTAACTTAATCTGAGACTCAGTTTTCTCATTTGTCAAATGGAGCTAGTATCCGCTTCACAGTACTGTTGTTGAGTTGATAATGTCACTAGCACATTGGAGGCGCTTGATAGATTTGTTTCCTATCCTCCTTTTGATTATTTGCCAGTCATGGTGACTAAGAGGGAAGGGAGAGAGCAAAGTTCACTCGACAGGGAAGGTTTCAGCAAAGGCCTGAGGGAGATGACTGTGGTGAGGAGGAGAAAAAATCTAGATTTAGAAACTTGCAGACAGGCAAGCATGGCACTAGGGCCAAGAAAATTCTCAAAAAGATTATTTCAAGGATTATATGAGAACACTGGTGGGGAGGGGGACTGAGTTCAGTGTAATCCAGCCAGGACTGGCTGAAAACGTAGGGGTTCCGGTCCTGTACCGGGGCTAGACACACAAAAATGACCAACACAAACTTCCCAGGGCCTGGCTCAGGGAGAGAGGGAACCCAGTTAGAACACGCTCAGTGTTTAAAAGGAAGAAACGCAAAGTGTGCCTGGAGCCCAGATGGAGAAATGACTAACTCCCAGGGGTCGGGAAAGGCTTCCCAGAAGAGGCAACTCAGAACCAAGGAGAGCGGGACAGGCTTAAGGCAGCCTGTGAACATCTAAAGAACGCTTCTATAGCATCTGGAGGAGGCGGATGCTTGTTCAGAACAGGACTTTGCTAAGACAGACCTGCTCACAAGAGCAGGGAGTGTGCACCCCACACTAGGATGAATTGGGAACCTCTCCCCAGAACCATCCACATAGCCAAAGGGAGGCCAACAGCTCAAGTCTAGGGAACATCAAGGTCAAGGGGACCTCTTTCTTTTCATATTTATTTAGTTGGCTGCACGGGGGCCTTGGTTGCAGCATGCAGAATCTAGTTCCCTAACCAGGGATTGAACCTGAGCCCCCTGAATTTGGGTCAAGGAGCCTTAGCCACTGGACCTCCAGAGAAGTCCCAGGATCTAGAGGATTTTGGAAGCTAAGGCTTCCCTGACATCCGACCCCTCTCCTCCTTAGTTCCAGACCCACAGGGCGGCTCTACCTGGCTTCTTCACCCTAAGCTCCCAGGGAGAATCAGGCCACCCCAAAACCAGATCCTACTACTGAGCTGAGGCCTGGCTCCCGCTAACTATGGCCATGGCTTTGTTTTACTAGTATAGGCCTGACCCATCAGGAAACTTCAGTGTAGTAACAGGGACGGATAAGCCTCTGCTATGGCTTTAGTTCCACGGTTGGATCCCCTCCAGACAGCCCTTTACATTTCTGGCTCCTGTGGGAGAATCTGCTGTTTGCACCCCAATACCAATTCTCCCTTCAGCAACACAGTCCCCAATTCTTAGGTGGGTACATGGCTCTCCAAAACAAGTCACGCTCCTTGGCCTTCCTGGCGGCTACAAGCTCCCTCCTCCTCCTGCCCTAAAGCCTTTGCTGCCTGCCTAATAGCACAAGAATCATGTGTTTCTAGGAGGGACCCAACTTTCATTCTTTCTTCCTTTCTGTAGCTGAGAGGCAGATACAATGGCTGAAGCTCAGGCAGCCATCTTAGGCCACAAGGTAGAACCCATGTGTTGAAAACAGCACAAAACCAAAAGCTAAAAGCCTACCCTCTCAGCTCCAGGCTTGCTGCCTTCCATTCCTATTAACCTGAGAACTCTAGTTTTACATAAGCCGGTTACTTTTAAATCTTGTTTCGTATTATATGTAGCTAAATCTAATCTTTCCTGATTAAGCTCCTAAAGCTCCCAAGCCCAGGGCCTGACGGATGGACAGTGACAGGAAGAATTCAGGTAGACCACGGAGAGGAAAGTTCTCCACACGGTTCTCACTCCACCACTTTCGATTTTAGGATTTGCAAAGATCACCATGATTTAACTTCCTTGGTCTGCTGGATGAAAAAAGGGCACAGGGGGGAGAAAAACAGATGAGAATTTAATACAGATGGTTACAAATGTAGATTGTAAGTTGTGAAAAGACCCTATGGCACTGGGGATGGACAGCAGGGTCAGGTGTCTGAGCAGCAGCGGCACACACGGAAGGCGCACCCAGGAACGCCAGGAGCCATGGGAAATGGTTCATGCATGTGGTCTCACTTCAGTCTCCGGGCAGGCTTGCGAGGTAGGTGTCTTATGACACCTTACATGTAGGGGTAACAGTTCCAGGGAGGTCAGCAGCAGGGAGGTCACATAGTGGGCCAGCAGTAGAACTAGGACTCAAACCCCAGCCTGGCCATGTGTGCAAAGCCCCCGGGCTCATCTCTGCTCCTGCTCATGAGGGCCTGTGAGGAGGAGACTCACTGCCCTGGGTCAAGTACCAGAACCATCTAGATGGCCCAGTAACAGACCCCGCCCTCTGCCATGGACGGAGGCAGCCAAGTGAGGCGAGTGGCCCCACCCTAAGTCACATGGGGAGGACAACAGGAAGGCAGCAGAGAGATCAGGTGGAAGGAGCCAGAGAAGCCAGGTCACCAGGCCGCCCAGCCATAAACCCTGAGCTTCATGTTCCCACGGCCAGGTGTGGCCTTCAGACTTGCACAGCCAGCACCAGATGGTGGTTTGTTTTTTGGGTTTTTTTTGGCTTTACTGGGTCTTCACTGCTGCGCGGGCTTTTCAGTTGCAGCAAGCAGGCTCTAGAGCAGGGGCTCAGTAGTTGTGGCACACAGGCTTACTTGCTCTGCGGCACGTGTGATCCCCGACCAGGAATTGAACATATGTCCCCAGCCCTGGCAGGTGGATTCTTTACCTGAGCCAACAGGGAAGCCCCAGATGGTGGGTTTTGATGGTGATGGGAGAGAGCCTGCCCAGTGCAAGGCCAGGACTGTGCCCGGCAGGCATCCATGGTGAGCGAAGGGGAAGGCCTACCCTGCAGACTGCAGATCCTGGCCCCCTTTCCTCCAGGAGCCCCGCTGGGTGCAGGGGCGGAACCTGCTTCCCCTTCACACATACTCAATAGCCCACCAGCTTCACAGGGGCTGAAAGCTCACCCTTCTCTCCTCTGCAGTCCTAGTGTCAGGGCCAGACACAGCTCCCCTAATCAGGGTGGCAGCCGAAATTCCTGGGCCCTGGTTCACAACCACGGGAACCAGTCAGCACAAGCAGGGTCCGAATCTCCAGAACAGGTGCTCTGGCTGCCCACCCTCGCGCCACACCCACCTGCGGCAGACGGACCTACACCCTGCCACCAGCCCAGCTCCATCAGAAGAGCGGAGTATGAGTGACGCAGGCCACTCAGCTGCTGCAACAAGGCTGGTTTCCATCGGCTCTGAAGCCGCACCTGGAAGAAGTGTGAAGAATCGGCAGCCCTCACCGAGCACCCGCCAGCCACGATTTCAGTGAGAAGGTATTTTTTTTTTACAAATGACTCATCACTCTTTCTCTGTTGGGCTGTCTGGGAGCTGCTGGAAGCCTACGGAAGCCGCCCAAGTTGGGGGTGAGAATACTCCAGGACCCCCCATCTCCACTCCTTTGAGGTCAGCTGAGGAGACCAGAAAGGCCAAGGGGAAGGGCAGGCCCAACGTCCCAGCTAGAAGGGAGAGCCCATCTCGCTCACCCTCCGGCTGGCGCTCCAGAGCAGCAGGCAGACTCTGGGTCTGCCAGGGGTGGTGCTGGTCTTCATCCCATCAGGGGGCCCAGGCCTAGCGCCACCTTTACATGCCCAGAGGGAGAGCTGTGGGACAGCGAGGGTGACCCACGCCCAACAGCTTCCACCTCCCCAAACGCCTGCCCTTGGCGTGTGGCATCAGGGTCAGGGACAAACCAACCACATGTGTGCATAGTTTCACAAATCTGATGAAGGTCCAGGGAGGTACACATTTGGGCAGACGCCCCAAACTTGGCCCCCAGAGGCTTCTCCTGGGGGAGGCCGGCTCTCAGCTGCCCACACCTTCTGGAGTCCAAACCCCAGGCTGGAGGGGTGCTGGCCTCACAAGCCTGGGGTGTAGTCACTGCCTGGGTGCAGGCTGGGTTATAAGACAGGACAGGTCCTTGCTGACCAGGCTGGTGCCTGGCCGGGGTCTCAGAGCTCACTCCCCGCTGTGCCGGGCTTTGCCTGTCAGCCGGCGGCGCTGGGTCTTGCTGGTACGAGTGGTGCTCGGGGGCTTCTTGGTGGTGTCCTGGGCCCGGCGAAGACGTTTCCTCTTGACCTTTTTGCGACTGTGTGCATGCAGTGAGGCCGTGAGAGAGGAGATCCTATGGGAGGAAGGCTGGTGAGGCTTGGGCCTCGGTTTACCCTGGGGAATAAGGTATGGGCGGAAGGTTGGGTCGGGGGGGTGCCTGAGCCCAGCTCATGCAGGGGAAGTCAGGACAGGCCCCAAATGCCATTCCAAAGGCAGCATGCTCTGTCCCAGAGGGCCTGCCAGCTCTTCAGCTCACAGCAACAAAGGCCCTTTACCCCAGGCACTCTGCCCCACACCACCCGCCATGGGCCAGCGGGAGGTGACTGCCACAACGCCAGCCATAGGAGCAGGCTCACAGGGGAGGACAGGCCAGGGCTCACCGCTGGGACAGCAGAGGGTCTCTGGACTTCTTGGGTAAGGCTCTGGTCAGCTTCTCCACGGATGACGCTTCCTCCTCAGGCCCAGACCCGGCCCCTTGCTAAAAAAAGCACAGAACAGGAGTGGCGGATCAACAGGCCTGGGCCTCCTGAGCTGTCACTAGTCTGCTGGCTCCCACACCCAATCGGGGCTCAGAGAAGGCTGTGGGGGTCACAAGTGCCCTGAAGCGGGAATGACAGGGGCAGAGGTGGGTTCTGAAGTCCTCCACCACCACGGCCCACAGTGGGCACACTCCAACACTTGCAAATGAAAGAATTCTAAAATGGGAATAAGACTAGTCTTTGCATCAGACCAGACAGAAGAAAGGGCTTCCCTGGTGGCTCAGATGGTAAAGAATCTGCCTGCAATGCAGGAGACCTGGGTTGGATCCCTGGGTTGGGAAGATCCTCCTGGAAAAGGGAATGGCTACCCATTCCAGTATTCTTGCCTGGAGAATCCCATGGACAGAGGAGCCTGGTGGACTACAGTCCATGGGGTCGCAAAGAGTCAGACACGACTGAGCGACTTTCACACACACATAACGAACAGAAGAATGAGCATCAAACACAAGGCGACTGTGAGCTCAGAAAGGACGTGATTAAAGCAGGGGCTCTAAAACCTAAGGACACTGTAACCCACACAAGGGGATGTGGTTTACCTGGCAACTAACTATACATATGTATGTCAGTTGCTCAGTCATGTCTGACTCTGCGACCCCATGGGGTGTAGTCTGCCAGGCTCCTCTGTCCATGTGATTTTCCAGGCAAGAATACTGGAGTGGGTTGCCATTTCCTTCTCCAAATTATACACATACATGTGCATAAATCCCTACACAACCCAGACACAAGCTTAACTGAAACAAATGTTTCATAAGACAACACTTGCTGGGATGCTTTCTGATACTTTTGATACTGTTTCCTTTTTTTGTTTAAATGCTAGTTGGAACTTGCTATGACTCACACCCCACAGGTCAGAACAGAGAGACGTGTCTTGCAGGGGTAGCGAGCACAATCAGCTGCTCTTGAGTGCTTCCAGTGGACTGACCACCTTTATCCTCACAGAAACCCGGCAAGGCAGCTGCTGTCATCAGTGACCCCCAATGTACCGGTGAAGGAAAGAAGCAGGTGAGGCAGAGAAACCTGCCCAAGCTCCCACAGCTGCTTGTGGTGGAGCTGGCCTCTGAAGCCCCAGGGTTCAGGGCTTTGGTCCAGGCCCTGGAGGGTTACCCAGAGGAAAGAGCCCCTTGTACTGGAATCCTTGACATGGACCAGCCCCTTGAAATGGACCAGCGCTTACTGACCCTCTTGATAAGCCAGGCTGACCCTGTGTCCCTTCCTCCCCCAGGCTGGGAGGGAGACCCACCTCAGGCGGGGGCAGGCCGAGCAGTCGGGCCCCTGAGAGGTCCAGGTCGCTGATGGTGGTCACGGTGACTGTGTGGTTGGGGTGGTCATACTGTACCGACTCTGTCTTCGCTGTCACCAGCCGGTCTAGCTCGTCGGCCTCCTCTGTGCAGGGTGCGTACAGGACTAGGCCTCAGCCCCAGGATGCAAGCAAGCAGGCTCCAGCACACACCCCACCCCTGACTCCAGCCCTAGAGTGTAATGGCCCCCTCTACTCTATAGAGCGGCACCCAGGAAGTCACTGGCTCCAGAGCCTGGCCTGCAGACAAGTGCTGGAAATGACCCAACTCCTCCCTCCAAGCTCCAGGGACATCCCAGACCACCTGGTCCCCACCTGGACCCCAGGAGTTGCTTTGACCCCCCGGCCCCTCCAAGCCTCAAAAACTGGGCTTTTTGCTCAGGATCCGTTTGCCAAGAGGTCTGGGTCGCCTCTGATCCACTGACATTGAGAGGTACCTGAGGACACCCCTGGCTCCTAGGGCACCACCAAGATCCCTAGAGCTAGAGATGTCAGCTTCTCTGCAGCCCTTATACCCCTTCCCTTCCACCCATCAAGGGATAAATAAACTCAACAGACTGGCTATTCTCCAGGTCAGGTCAAGGACTGGACTTACCCAGAGCCTCCTCTCTCTCTGCCAGCATCTTCAAGTATTCCTGGTGGCGCTGAAACCAAAGGGAAGGCAACATGGTGAGTATGGCCTCTCAGCCCAGACACTGCTCCCCTCCAGGATGAGTAAGACCATGACTTAGAGGGAAAGATCAAGAGATCTTACCCTAAACCTTCCCCACACCTGGACCACGGCACCTCTATCTGCAAAAACTGCACCCCAGGCCTGCCCGCCCCCTCCCCTCAGCCCGGCAGGTGCCCCTATTCGGGCCAGCGAGGCTGCGGGTCCCCTGGGAGTTACAGACACTCTCCTGCCCTCTCCCTTTGCACCTCTTCCCGGAGCTTCTTCTGCTCCTCCTTCAGCCTCTGTTTGATCTCCTCAATGGCTGCCTTCTTCCGCTCCACCTTCCTCTTGTGGAAGCCTGTCAGGTACTCCCTACAGCAAAGAGGCAAGAGAGACAATCAGGACACAAGGAAAGAAGGGCTCACTCCAGGAAGAGGGGGAAAAAAAAGCTAATACTGCACTCACCATGTGCTAAACACCATTCCAAAAACGTAAACACATTAACTCATGTAATCTTAACAGCATGCATATTGGGTGGTTATTGTTGTTCAGTTGCTCAGTCACGTCTGACTCTCCATGACCCCATGGACTGCAGCATGCCCTGTCCTTCACTATCTCCTGGAGTTTGCTCAAACTCAGATCCACTGAGTCGATGATGTCATCCAACCATCTCATCCTCTGTCACCCCCTTTTCCTCCTGTCCTCAATCAGGTACCCATTCCCAATTTACAGATGGAAGACACTGAGGCAGAGAAAGGTAAGATGACTTGCCCAAGGGGGTCAGAGAGTGTAAGGTTAGGGAAACAGAGGGAGGTGCTGCCTCTCCCCACTCACTACCCTCCTGGGCTCTCAGCTGCCAGCAACAGGGCCAGGTGGTGGGCATAGGCTGAGAGCCTTTGAACCTAGAACAGATGAGGGTCCCTTCTTCATTGGCAAACTCTATTCCTCAGTAAATTAGGCCGCTTCAAGTGGGGCTTTCAAGGCCACCCTCACCCAGACCTCCACAAACTGTCCATTGGACCAATACCCATTTCCCCAGGACTCTGCCCCTCGACTCGTCTGTAGGTCTTGTTGATGCCTCCCTGAGTTTCCTGACGATGCCCCAGCACTTCCTTCCCCACGCTCCATCTTATCTCAGCCCGTCTCATCTCCCTAGGTCTGGCCGCACCATTCCTATCTGTTCTGGGGCCCAATACCAGGCTTTTCACTGACCCACTACCAGGTGGCACTCTGAGTGGTGCTAGACCACACGCTAAGGCTTAGAGAACCGACTCAAAGTTCCGGAGACCTTTGTTTCATTCACTAATCATTCATCCAAAACAGCTGAGTCTACTGTGAGTCCGTGGGATCGCAGAGTCCGCCAGGACTGAGAGACTGAACTGCGAGCGAGACCGCCAGGCTAGGGAGGGTGAAGCCCGCTCTCGGGCCGCGCACACAGCATCACAAAGCGGCTTGGGGAGCAGAGAAGCGACGCGAGGGCGGGGCGGGCTATTCCATCCCTCCGGCCTGTGGGGCCCAGAGCTGCGGCTTCCACCCGCCAGGGCTACGCACCACGCTGAGAGGGCGGGACCGGAAGGACCCTCCGCGTGAGCGTGTGCGGACAGACCCGGCCTCGGCCTTGCCCGGCGGCCCGAACGGGATCCGCTCAGCCTTGGCACTCACCGCCGCTTCTCCTCATCGAAGCTCAGGATGAGTCGCTGCCGCCGGTCGTCGCCATCTCGCTGCTTCTTCTTGTTGCGGCCCATAGCCGGAACGCTTCCGCTGCGCCGATCCCGCGCACCAAAGACACTTCCGGTTGTGGGAAGGCTAACCTTCCGGAAGTGCTCCGCAGCGACGCTCGGCCGTTCCGCTCGCGGGACCCCGCCTTTTAAAGGGGCCGCCCTGGGGCTTCCCTGATGGTCCAGTGCTTAAGACTCCATGCTCTCAATGCAGGAGACACGAGTTCAAACCCTGGTCGGGGAACTAAGATCCCACATGCCATAGACCATGGCCAAAACAAAACAAAAATAAATAAACACCTTTTTTTTAAAAAATAAACACCTTTAAAAATAAATAAATAAAGGGGCCGCCCTGCGTTCCTCCCATCCCTCTCTACTTCGTGTATAACAGGCGGGATCTGTACCCCCGCCCCCGCGCTCCCCACTCCCCGCAGCTGAACAACAGGGTGATGAACAACTGTCTCTCTGGCCCTGCACTGCCACTAGTGGCCATGCCACTTGCCATCCATGGCACCCTCCTGGGTAGAAGCATTGCCTTGGCTGCAGTGGTGCGCCCTGCCTTACTCCCAGCAAGATGCCCGGCCAGAGGCCTCCCGTGGAGGCTGAGTGGGTAAATAACTTAAACAAAGTCAGCTCATTCTTAAGTGGTGTGCAGCGTCACCCCCGATTGCTGCCCTGTGTGTGGAATGGTTCCGCCCTCCTGGAACGTCTGGTCAGCTGCAGAGACTGGAACCGAATAAGAAGAAAGCTGCTCTGTGGGGATCTCTGTGCAGTCGGCCCTCGGAGCCCACCCAGTTGGAGCTGCCAGCCCACGAGGGGCTCAGGGAGGCCACATCTGTGAAAGTTCCCAGTGCAGAGTGAAGTACGACACCTCGGGCAGGTGCTCTTGTTCAAACTCTTCCCTGGGAGTCCCAGGTCCCCTTTACTCCAGGGAAATAGATGTGGGACTGGCAACCCCACCCAGACTCCAAAAGCTTGAGAGCTCTTTGCTGCAGTTAGTTCACAGTCTAACACACTTCCCTTTTGGATCACTTTCTCCTTGAAATTATTTTTATGTTCATTGAGCATATTTTTATGTTCAGGCACAGCAAGAGATGGCACATTTTCTTAATAGAAATGATGATGAAGGTGATAAGCCAAAAAATAACAGCAGCTGCCATTTAGTTCTTTGCATGATTATCTTTTTTTTTTTTTTGGCTGTGCCATGTAGCATGTGGGATCTTTAGTCCTCCAACCCGAGATGGAATTCATGTCCCCTAAAGTGAAAGTGTGGAGTCTTAACCACTGGACCTCCATGATCCCTAAATGACTATCTTTTCTGAGATATGAGTCCCATTTTAATGAGGTTCAGAGAGGTGTGGTCACTTACCCAAGGTCACACAGACAAGAAGAGCAGGCGCTGAGGGTAGAACCCTGTCATCTAAAGAGAGAACTCTACTTATTGTTTCTCTGGACCCAGTTTCATAGGCTCTTGGGCACACGGGGTCTGAAAAGAGGTGAAGGGAACCAATGTTTACAGAGCCCCTATTATGTGCTAGGCACAATGCAGTTCTCCACATTATCTCAGCTAATCCTTGCAACAGTCACACAAGGTGGATACTAGTATTAATGCAATTTGATCGGTGAGGAAACAGGTTCAGAGGGGTTATGTAACAGAGGGGTTAAGGGCACACAGTGATGGAACTAGGGTTTGAACACAGGTCTGACTCCAAGCCCAGTTTATTTCCCCCACAGTCAGTGATCTCTCTCCTAATTTGCCCCAGAAGCTGTCCTCTGCCTGCCTGCAGTCCCAGTCCTGGTATACTGTGTGTTCAGCTAGTGTAGGGAGAGTAAGTAGGGTGAGAAAAAGGCAGTCAAGAAGACACTTTCTCTAATGTCCAGCAGAGGGCGCCCCACCCACAGCCAGCCTTCCAAAGCTGTCTCTCTGGGTGGCCACTTGGGTGCCCCAGGAGAGCCTGGAGATTGGGTGTGGCTCAAGGTAGCTCCCAGCCCTTGTGCTCCATCCTCCGTGGCCCACATAGAGATGTGTCCTGCAGCGGACCCACTGAGATGGGAGTCATCCACCCAAAGGGGCCAGTTGAAAATAATAGCCCCCGTTTTACAGGTGAAAAAACTAAGGCTGGGGGAAAGAGACCTATCCAGTGTTTCACAACTGATGCTAGCGGTTCTGACGACTGAAATTAGCCAAGCTCCCACCCCACACAGCTCAAGAGGCTGCCCTGGGGTTTGGGGGTTGCCCACTGAGGTTCTGATTCTAAGCCTTTTTGGAACACTGGCTCAGTTCCCAGGGGCTGTTTCCCAGGGAGGTAGGGGCGCTACATCAGGGAGCAGAAAGGAAAGGGGGCAGAGGCATAGTCAGTGTGCAGGGTTGCCCAGCCATCAGCTCATGTCCCTTCCCTTGTGACAAATGAGCATGATGGAGCTGGGTGAAGCCTTGCCCTCCAAGGTAACACAACCTGGCTGGCCTTGGAAAGCACATCCTCTGGAAACCAGCAGAAGAGGGGCTCATGGAGGCCTCATCACAAGCTGCGTGAGTCCCCTGCACTCCTCTGCTCTGCAGGGAAGAGGCTGTGTGCAGCAGGAGGCCCACCTGCCTCTACGTCTAGGCTCTCTGCAGGGGCTAGCATTCCTCCTCCCCCATTCCTCCTATCAGAAATGGGCCAGCAGGTGGTGCCAGGGCCATCGCCCAAGCCCATCTTCCCATTGTTGGGTTAAGGGCCCTGAGTTTCCAGATTGGCACCCTGGTTGCCCTTACACTCCAGCATTCAGGGGTGTGGCCTGGCACCACAAACCTGGGGTGCTTGAGGAGCCCCTGAAGGCTCAGCTGGGCCTGGTACAGACCAGGGAGTCACCGCCCAGAGCCTGTTTCCTCCCTTTCAGATTCAGGAAATAAGATCTCAAGCGATAGTGGGGCAGGGACGGATATACCAATCACTGCGTGTTTGCCAGGTGCCAGCCCTATGCTTGTCCTCCTTCACATACCTCATTTCATCCTCACAACAATCCCAAGAGAGGCTCCATGCTATCCTCCCCATCATATAAATGAATAAACAGGCTCAGCGAGGTCAATTAAGGCCCAGAAGGGCACACAGCTGTTTTCCCTGCACTGTCTGAAATCGGACGACTTCCTAGCTCACGAAGACAAATGAGGGGGCCCCAGGTATTCTTCCCTCTACCTCCCTCTGTGCTGCCCCAGATACCATGGCATGAATCAGCCTGTTCTTGCCTCTCCCCCTGTTTTCATTTATTCAACACCTTTTGAGCATCTACTGTGTGCTGGGGTCCACTGAGTTGGGAACTGTTTGAGGGCAGTGACTGGGGCTTATTTAGTATTGAGCTCCCTACTGGGTACTGAGCTTTCTGTTCAGCCCAGGGGACCCAGGGGAAGAAGATGTCAGTGGCATGTAAGAGGTATGCCTGCACTTAGTCATGTTTAACTCTTTGCGACCCTATGGACTGTAGTCTGCCAGGTTCCTCTGTCCACGGGATTTTCCAGGCAAGAATACTGGAGTGGGCTACAAGCCCACTTAAGAGGTATAACATCAAGGGAGCTCCCTGGCAGGTCCAATGGTTAGATGCTTTCACTGCCATGGTCCTGGGTCCATCCCTGGTCAGGGAACTCAGATTCCACGAGCCACATAGCGCACCCCCACCCCCCAAAAAAGGTATGCATCAAGGTAGTGAATGAAAGTGAAGGAGAGGGCAGAGACAGGGCTTGTGGGAGTTAGCGGAACCCTCCTCTTCCACACCCACACACACAGGAGGCTGGATCAGGGGGAGCAGAGGCAGCTGCCTTTATTGGGGGCCATGAGCTGGCTGGCCCATGTGTCACTCAAAGGCCACACACTTGATCTTGAAGTCACCACCTGCAGCCAGGTAGTTGATGGCCTCTAGGTTGAGGCGGTTGGGGAACTTGAATTCGTACCCATCAGGCAGCTTGATGGTTAGATCCGTCTGGTTGAAAGAGATGCATACCTGGGGATGCAGAAGGGCAGTGAGCACGTGTTCCCCACAGGGACCCTCGACTCCGCGGCCACACCCTCAGCATGCAGGTCCTAGGCCCTCCCAGAGCCCTTTCCTCACCCAGCCCCGACAACAGCCCTGCTTAATGGGCGAAGCCCTGAGGATGGGAGAAGGGGATACTGCTCACCGAGGAACACACAGCAGGGGAGGGAAGGGCAGGGAGATGAGAAGGGAGAGGAAGGGGGACTGAGGTTGGAGGGGTGGGACCTAGATCTCTAGCCACTCAACCCAGCTCTGCCCCAGCCCACCCAGTGCCCTTATCCCGCCCCCTCCCCCAGGCCCCAGCCCACCTCCGCAACACTTCCAGGCTGGAAGGGGAAGGCAGATTCCCGCTGCTCGGCCCCCCAGGCCCCGGCGTCCTTGCTATTACACACAATGGTGTTGATATCCCCATGCGCGTCGAAACGGGGGTTGAAGTGCAGGCACAGATTGTTATCGTCTTTGCCCAGGTTCAGCGAGAAGCTAGGAGGTAACAGGTGGGCTTGAGGCCGCCCCTTCAAGCTATAGTTATAGCTACCGGCTACAGCCCCCTCAGACCCTCTAGTCTATGCCACCCACTCCACGTGAAAGCACCTCCCTGGGGAAACTCACTGAGCCGAGAGGCAGGAAGCCTGAATTCTAGCTGTGTCCCTGCCTCCTCCTTGCTGTGTGCCCCTGAGCAAGTCCTGGCCCCTCTCTGGATCTCAGTATCCATATGTACACAGTGGGGGCTGCGCAAAGAGGATCTCTTAAGGGTCTTCAGTGCTGACAGCCAGGACTCTTGCAGACATGAATTTGTGTCCCAGCCCCTTTGGTCAAGGTCAGAGACTCCCTCCAGACGGTGACCTCTGGAAGGGCAAGTGTCCTATCCGTCTTGTCTGTCTCGAGCCCTGGTGCCCAGCGCGACGCGTGACACCCAGCAGGTAGCTGCTCAATAACTGCGGGGCTTATGAACGAATAACAATAATACATTTGCTGAGTGGAGCTAACAGCAATGCCTAGCTCTGAGGGTTTGGAAAGAATGGCACAAGCGGTGCGCGTGAAACCTGCGGCTCAGCTGGTCATCATCGTCACCGAGAGATCCAGCATTGCACCTTCACACAGCAAC